ATGCTGCCATAGGTCAAGAATGCTGCGGGTAGAACACGCAAACTCTAAGCAGAAAGACCCTCTGGCTGGGAATCGAACCCAGAACCTTGTTGCTGAAAGGGAACGATACTACAAATTGCACCACTGTGCACAGTTTTTTTTTTGTTTGTTTGTTTTTATTTAGATGTTTTAGCTAAATTCTACATATCAGACATTGTGCAAGTCTGAGGGTCTGAGAGCCAAGGGCCAAGTTAGACGACATTGCTTTCTTCACCTAAAGATAGAGGAGAGTGGGTAGAGTGCAACATTGTTAATTTGAACAATACGCTTTTAGCTATGAGAAAACACAAAACAGAAAACAAGACAGCAGCCACATCCCATAATTCCTTCAGGGAGAACTGAAAATATGGGTTAAAAAAAGGTCACATATTTAATGTCTGTTTTTTTTTTCTTCCACAGAGTCTGTATAAACAACTTAAATGTTATATAGTATGAATCTGCAGTTTTTAGATGTAAAATATTTGAATAAACCAATAATTTGAAAAAAGAAATTACATTTTTTTTAAATACTGTATATATTGGGACAGTTCTTCCAAAAAAATAAAAAATAAAAAGTTAAAAACAATCCACTGGAATTTGTTTCCTGTAACATTAGGCATGTTCTTGGAAAGAGCAAAACACTGAGTCTCTGCTCAGGCAGCCGAACGCAGAGCAGAGAGGAGAGTTTATCTCTGATCTTCTTTTCCCTCCCCTTATTACCGCAATCGGGGGGGATTAACCATTAGGCAATACCAGGCAGTTGCCTTGGGCCCCAAGTTCCTACGGGGCTTCATAAAACTCTTTTTACACATATAGTTATTACAACTATTCCATTTTTGTGCATATTAATAATGTTTTGGATAAAAATATATTTTTTCCGTAAAATGCCATCAGAACGCTGATAATACTAAGAGTGTCTCTTCTCAATTCAGAGGGCCCCCCCTGCCTGTCTTTGCCTACACTGGAAAGAATCAAAATCTAGATCATCTAAGTGATTTTTTTCTTAAAATAAGTACATTTGTTCTTGGATTAAGGAGGTAAAAGTAACTTATGCCAGTGGAACAAGACAATTTACATTTAAACACAATTGCATTATTTTATTTCAAGTGCATTTTATCTAAATACCTTATTTTAAGAGTAAAAATACTCAGATCATCTTGTTTACCTACTCATTAAGGGTAAATAGACTTAATCTAAGACGTTTTGACTTATTTCTAGATTGTTTTTCCAGTGTAGGGCCCAAATTTCCTAAATCCATCCCTGGCCGTAATAAGATAAATAAAACACAATGGGACCCCTTAAATGTCCAGATCAAACTCACTCTTCTGGCAGTTTCTTTTTTCTTTTTTTCTTGCAGGGGGAGAAAATGAGTTTTGTTTTATTCTCAATCGAGCACAGAAAAAAGTTTCGAGACTGTTAACATACCATGTTTCAAACCATCTGCAAAATGAAAAGAAGTCACTTACGCATGAACTCCAGACAGGCCAGACATTTCCCCAGCGCCAGCACCGACCCCTGCGTGGACATTTCTCAGGTTCTGGTTCTAATAGTTCCTCATCCCGTCCCCAAACAGCAGCCAGGTCCAGTCTGTCCACACCAACAGACCCTCAGGCTCTAATGCAAGTGGGTCACAGAGGCTCCTCAACCCACTTACCCAGCAAGAACTTTAAAAAAAATAAATAAATAAAAGAGCCAAACTGGGTCAGCACCAGTGCCAGCAGTCCTGTGTGTCTCTGCTGTCAGGGGCCTGCTTATTTATTCTGTGAGCTCGGTCAGCGCCGGGCACCGCGCCTGTGGGGACACAGGGGCGCACAATAAGGGGCGGCAGGGAGAAAAGAAAAGGAGGAATGGCACAGAGAGACCCAGATTCAGAGAAAGGAGGAGAAAGGGGCCCTAAGGAGGATTTACACGAGGAGCTCACTCACGTTGACTGGAGGAATGTCAAGAGCTGCTCTCAGTTTTCACTCTGGGTGCTGATCAGTCTGCTGAGTCCAGAACTGCTTTTATAACAGTTAACTGTTTTCATCCAACATGGATATGAAATGCATTAACTCTTTATTAGCTCAATTATCCTTTCCTCTAAAGCTAAAAGTTTAAAGATCATCAGATGTATGGGGCGCCATTTCTAAAGTTAGGCAGTCAAAAATTAGAAGCAATATTTGTGGTTATTTAGTGCAGTTTAAGAGAAAAATAAGGGGTTATTTTTTTCTCCAAGTCATTTTTTAAATCTGTAATTCATTCATTTATAAAAATCTTACTTTGTTAAATAAATATTTAGTTTTTTAAATATTTAGCTCCACATTAAATAT